AGATGATAGATAGATAGATAGATAGATAGATAGATAGATAGATAGATAAAAAGAAGCAGCTAAAAATGGAGGTGATGGGCAAAGTCACTGATTGATAATTCATTGGCCAGTAAGAACTTCATGTCTACTTCTCCCAAGGGTCCCTCTTCTAGAAGAAGCAGATTCAGATTCAGGTTCTGACTATGCCCTGACTCACATACTGAGCAAATTGTTCCCTGTCTTCTGTCCTCAGTTTTCCCAATGGACAATGAAAGGTTTGAACTGTGCTTATAGTTCTCATAGTCTCCCCTAACAGTCCTCAAAAGCTGCCCTGAGTAAATGAAGGCTCTCTGAATTGACCATAAGCCCCTCTAAGGTGGCCTCCAGACTACCCTTACATACCCTGCTCTACGATCCAGCTCGGCATATACTCGTGTGGGTACACACACCTATACAATGAAACCCAGTTATCAGACATTTTTGTGATGGACAACCTCAGAACCACATTCTCAATGAACATGTCTCTGACTTTATCCTTCTTGACCTCTCAGCCACATCTGACATTGCAGACTACATTCTTCTCCCTGACACATTCTCTTCCCTTAGTTTTCATGCCACTGTCATCTCTTGGTTTTCTCCCTCTCTCTGAGTGTTCCTTTCTTCTCAGTGTCAGTTCATGTTTCTTCCTCTGCCCTGTGCTTCCCTGTTGTTCTTCGTTGGGGTTCCAGGCTGGTCCCTTTTCTCACTCCATACACTCTTCTGCACCCATCTCATTTTTCCCCCCATGGTTTTGACCACCATCTGTGCCTTGGACTCAAATCTCTACTTTGGACTGATATCAACCTGCCTACTGGGCATGTCTACAGACACCTCAATTCAACTTAACATACCTGGAACTAAACTCACCAGCTTTTCCTTCTACCCAGCCTTTGCAAACCCTCTAAGCCAGTGGTTCTCAACCTTGGCTGCACATTAGAATCACCTGGGAATCTTTTTAAAATCCTGATCTCTGGGCCTCCTCCTCCGGAAATTCTGTTTCTTTGTTACTAATGCTGTGGTCCCGGCCCATAACAAAGAAACAGAATTTCCGGAGGATGAGACCCAGAAATCAGGATTTTAAAAAGATTCCCAGGTGATTCTAATGTGCAGCCAAGGTTGAGAACCACTGCTCTAAGCCTTTCCTATTACACACCACTCAGCTCACTCACCACACTCTATTCTCATTGTTTCAGCAACTGCCTGTTTTCTCTCTTTAGCACAGTGCCTGGCCCTTAGCAAATTAAATGTAATTAGATGGCAAACATTTTGAGCAACAGCTCCATGCTGTCCCTGAACTAAATCCTATCTGAAAACCAAAGACAATTTCTCCATAAGTTTAGAGTCCAGCTGAGGATTTTACAGTCTCAAGTAGACATACATCCTATAGGCTTTATCAGCTTTCTGCTGTTTCCAAATCCCCTCTAATGTGCAAGAATCCCCTAGGGAAAATCTCACTTTAAATCCTTTCCAACTATTACCTTAGTCATTGGTTAACCAGTATATGCTAAAAACTTAGTTTTAAATTAACCCCTCAGTTATCAGCCAGCACTTGAGTAGTTAATATGTGATTTTCTACTAACACTTTAATTATCTTCTAACACTTTACTTTTAAGCAAAATACTTTATTTATTAGGTTATATATTAGCACTCAGTAATGTGGACGAAAAAGGGCAGGTCATGCTGGGTAGTCATACCCCAGGCCTATAACTTCTTTAGTGAAAGGTTTTTAAGCAAACTGCCCATTGTTCTTGTGTATCGCAATTAACACACCTTTGAAATGCGGAAGTAATACTCCTCAAAGGTGTAACCACACTTAAGAAAGCACATAATCTTGTAATCTAATCCCTTCCTTGCTTTCTACCTCCTTCATGTAATCTTACTTAAATTACCTCATTAATTCCAAATACATTTTAAAAACTGCAATCTGTTATATATATTGTCAGTTTGGTTCAAATAAACTCATAAAAATTCTCTACAGGTTTGCACTTTTCTTACATCGACAGTAGTTTAGCTAGTTGACAAGCCTTAATGATTAATCTATATTTTAGTTGTCTTCTTAAATCTCATTACCTATTCCTTAGCAATCTGCTAGTAGGTTAGGATAGATTAGCAAGCCAGAGACCACTGAAGTATGGTAGCAACCATTTCAGGTGGAAACTGTAGTTTAACTCTAACCCTGTTGTTTGGCTTAACAATATAAAGGTTATTTTGATTTTCTGAATTGTATAAATCATCCCATTCGATTGAATGCCTTATTGATTGAATGACTATCCCATTGATTGTGATCTTACTGGTTTTTGAAGCACATTCTTCTGTACCTGGGAAACAGGACAGCACAATTACCCTAAATTGTTTTAGTGGCCACAGGTGGTGTGTTCCAGTTGACTCAGTGGACCCGAGGGCTCTAGATAACGTGTTTCTATCAACTCAGTGATCCGGAGACCCAAAACTGTAATTTAGATAACATGCCTAAGTTTAACCCAGGTTACCCAAGGGCTCTAGATAATGTATTTCTGTCAATTCAGTGACCCCGAGACCCGAAACTGTAATTAACATGCTTAATTCTGCTTCTGTAATCTGCTTTTTTGCGAGCCAGGTGCCTCATTCCAAACCCTGAGATGTAATCAATACCTGTGTGATTTTTTGCCTATATAATCCTGGAACTGTGACCAAATGACTGCTATGAGATTTGGGAATGTCCCCTCATAGTCCCGGATTGCAATAAATGTGACTCTTTAATTCGACTTCTTGAGGCGTCCTTCTGTGATTCGCGGGGTACATTACAACACCACTGGTTAAGAATTTGAAAAGGGGGTCATTTCTGGCTGTGGATATGATAAGGGCCTTTGCTTTTGCTGAGCTCTCCTTCCGTGCCCTTTTCCCCCACCTTCCCAATGATTCATTCTCTTTCAACATCATTGATCCCAGGTCCTCAGAGAAAGGGAGGTTCCATCTTCATCTCTTATTTACTTCTCTAATTTGGGCTAGAGAGTGGAGGGAGGAGAGTGTGACTATGAGGGAACTTCCTGGAAAAGTATGGTTGGAAGAAACATTCATTCATTAACAAGTATTTCTTGAGCTCTGCTATGTGTCAGGTTCTGCACTAGGTTTTAGGGATACATCAGTGAACAAAACACACGTTTCCAGCTATCATGATGCT